AAGGACAAGACTAAATATTTTATTTAAGGTGAGAGAAGAGATTAAGAAGTAGTGGGATATAAGATTCTTAGAAGTAGTGGAGTACCCTCGGTAGGAGTTAAACATAATGTTCATGGATAAGAAAGATGGTAAGATCCAAATATGTATAGATTACCAAGATTTGAACTGTACCAATCTGAAAGATGACTTCTCATTACCATACATCAATGCCCTAATCGATAGAATGCCACATGTTCATTTATGGATGGATTTATAAAATACAATCAAATCAAGATGGTTATGGATGACAAGACAAGATGATATTTGTCACACCTCGAGGAACTTTCTACTACAAGGTTATGCCTTTCAAATTGAAAAATGCTAGGGCCACTTATCAAAGAGACATAGTTACATTGTTCTATGATATGTTGCACAAAGAAGTGAAGGTTTATATGGACGATATGATTGCAAAATATAAAAGGATAAGGGTCATGCTCCGATTATAAGAAAGTTATTTGAAAGATTAAGGAAATATTGACTGGGATTGAATCTCATGAAGTGCACTTTTGGTGTGAGAATGGAAAAATTGCTTAGATTTATAGTAAGGAATAGAGGAATTAAAGTTTATCTTGACAAAGTCAAAGCCATTTAGAGTATGCCTTCATTGTTAATCAAGGAAAAAGCCGGAAGGTTTCTAGGCTGATTGAATTATATTAATCATTTTGTTTCTCAATTAACCAATACTTATAAGTCGATATTCGACCATTGTGAATGAAAAACCCCAATGTATGGGATGAGGATTTCTAAGAAACCTTTGATTAGATCAGAAAATATTTACAAAATCCATTATTATCGGTACCACCGATACTAGGAAAAACTTTTGATTCCGTACTTATTAGTGACCAAAGTGGTAGTGAAAAGTGTCGTAAGCCATCATGATAAGTCGGGAATAAAAGAACAAGCCATCTATTACTTGAGCAAGAAGTTTGCTAATTGCAAGTTAAAATACGAGTACACTTGAAAAGATGTGTTGTGGTTCGGAATGGTGTGTATCATGACTCGGACAAGTACATGCTTTATTACACTATTTGATTGATTTCAAAAATGGACCTACTTAAGTACATTTTTTAGAAGCCATAATTGTGTAGTTGGATTATAAGATGGTAAGTCATATTATTCAAATATGACATTATAAACATGACAAGCAAGGCGATGAAAAAAAGCATCATAGCTAATCATTTAGCAAATAATGCGATGAGACGACTACGAGGCTTTGAGATTTAATTTTCTTGATGAGTTAATTATGATGCTTAAAAAGAAGAGCTTAAGTCAAATGATGGCATATGGGCCTCAGTACCTTGATGGAGTTATCAATGTGTCAAAAAATAGTATTAGATTGGTCATTTCACCAAAAGAAAAATAGTTTATGATGGCGAGTTAAGTTACAATTTAAATGCTCAAACAACATTGCAGAGTATGAAGCATATATGCATGGTCTAGGAGCGGCCTTAGTGATGAAGATAATCAAACATAATGGATACAATAACTCACTACTCATAATCAATCGAGTGAAAGGAGAGTGAAAGACGAAAGATAAAAAGCTAAAATGATGTTAAGAATACTTAACAAAGCTAGCTGGCTAGTTCAAAGAAATTGAGTTTAGCAATCTAAATAGAGAGAATAACCATTTCACCCATGCATTACCAACCCTTACTTTTATGATCGAAATCAAATGTGGTGTGAAGATTTAGCCTATATGCATAAAAATCAAAAATGGCCTAACATACTATTATGGTCTAATTGGAGAGGAATTGGATGGAAAACCATGATATCATGACATCAAGTAGTTCATAAAAAGCTATAAATATCTATCCGATGTAACCAAGAATGACGGAAAGACTCTTAGAAGGTTACCTATGGATTTTTATCTTGACGATATGATTCTACATAAAAGAAGCTTTCATGGCCCTTTACTAAGATGTGTGGATATAGTTGAGGCAAAGAAAACCATAAAAGAAGTCCACAAAGGGATTTGTGCTACACATGATAATGGGCATAGGATAACTCAATACATTTAACAAAGCAGTTACTTTTAGACTACCATGAAAAAAATTACATTAATTATGTTTAGAAATGTCACAAATGTCGATTCATATCGATCAAATAAATGTTCCACTTGTACCCTTTTTCAATATGGTAACACCTTAGCCATTTGCGATTTAAGGCATGGATGTTATTGGATCGATAAACCCCGAGACAAGGAACAAACACTACTTCATCCTAGTAGTAATTGATTATTTCACCAAGTTGGTTGAAACTGCTTCCTTTGCATATGTAACTCAAAAAGTTATATGTCAATTTATAGAGAAAGACATCATTTGTAGATATAGCTCTTCTAAAACTTTAGGAATTAGATAATGCTTAGAACTTCAATGGTAAGATGATAATAAATTTAGGCCGGTGTTGAAAGAGAAAACACCATAATTCTTCTCCACATAGGCCTAAGATGAATAAAGTTGTAGAAGCAGACAAATAAGAATTTAAAAAATATTATCCAAAAGATGGTGGTTACTTACAAGAGTTAGCATGAGATTCTACCATTTGTCGTATATGCTTACTAAATAGTAATCAAATCTTTAACAAGAGTAACTCCTTACACTCTAGTTTAGGGAATAGATGCGACGATACCTTAAAAAGTCAAAAATACCTTCTTTGAAAGTTATGAAAGAAGCAATATTTGAACAATTCAAATGGAAAAAGACATGATATAAATAGTGGAATCCGATAAGTGAAAAATAACTTATCGCCATCCGTCATGCCCGACTATATTAGAGAAGAATGGCCGCCGCATATGATAAAAAAAATGCATCGGAGATGTTTTCAAGAAGGAGAACTCATGATAAGAAAAGTTATAGAAATATTGAAAGGGCGAGTCAAAGTAAATTGGCATAAACTATGAAGGTCCTTATATGGAAAAAAATGATGTTCTCTAGTGGAGCTCTCACTCGACAAACTTGGATGGTGATGAACTATTAAAGCTAGTAAATATAAATACTCTAAGGAAATATTACATAACTCTCTTTGTTTAAAGGAATAAAGTATTCATCAAAATTTTAGCCAATCTACTTTATGTGTTAGCATTTTCTTTTACTTTTTATTTTCTTTAATTGCCTCTCATTACCAAATATAAGATTTTCTTACTCTTTTTCTAATGTGATCAACCCTTAAAAACCTTTTCTTTAGTCCTCTCGCATGATAATGTATTAACATTGTCTATAAAACATGATAAACAATATAAAATATCAAAGAAGGATATGATAAGGAGGTTTATCAAAGTTTATAGTATGATAGGATTCCCAAACTGAAGTTCCTAGTGGAAGTGAATCATGGGACATAATAGACAATTTGAATAAAGTCAAAAGAAATTTGCACAAGCACCAAAATTGATAAAACAAAAGGCAAAATCTAAAATTCAAAAAAGAAAGTCACCACATCACCAAGTACTCGATTAGATGGCATTGACATGATCGGATGGCTCGTAAAAACAACAACTACATAATGAGCGACTAAGCCGGTCCTAAGGAAAGTGGTAAGCCTTGTACTTTGATTTCAAATAAGAAAAGTGACGTCAAAGAAAAAGAAGAAGTATGGTTTGAATGGTCGGGACTTGTATCTCTATGATGAAAAGATATAACTTACAAACTAGTAATGTATTAAACAATAGTTTCTTTGTTCCACTCGCTTAAGCCACTCATAAGGACAAGGCGTCCTAAATAATAGATTGAAAGAATTATATGTTTTTTAGTTTATGCTTTGTTAATTTCCTCTTTATTCTTGCATTCTTTACAAAGCTTTATGTGTCTTATCAAAAAATATAGTATGTTGTATTCTTCTAGGCCGAATGATCTATCACGTCTAGCAAAGTTAGAGTGGCATGTCATGTCATGTCATGCCAAATTAGAATGATATACCATGTCTAGCAGAGCCGCAGTGGTCCGTCATGTCCTACCAAATCAACACGATCTACTACATCTAGCGAGTTAGAAGATCCGTCACATCCTACCAAATCAAAGTGGTCTATCATGTCTAGTATAGTCAAAGTGATTTTTCACGTTCTACCAAAACAAAGTGGTCTACCACTTATAGTAGTGTCGAATGGTTTGTCATGTCTTACCAAATCAAATCGGTCCGTCACATCTAGTAGAGTTAGAATGGTATATTATGCCCTATCAAGTTAGAGTGGTCTATCACTTCTTGTAAAGTTAGAGTGGTTTGTCAAGTTCTATTAAGTTAAAGTAGCTTGTCACGTCTTGTAAAGTCATGTTGGCTTGTCACATCCTTTTGAACTCATCATTGTCTTACATGTTACATGTTTTTATTTCAACTTTTTTTTGTCAAATGGTTAGTCGTTATTTGAATTTGATGATTGCTTTTTATTTTTACCAATTTTTTGCATCATGTAATTTCATTTTGATTTCTAATTTTCTTTACAAAGCTTTCTATATAATGTCAAAAAATAGCTCGTCAATGATGTTGTAACAAAAGCATTGTAAAAAGAGAATAACTCGTTAGTATCCAAATTTTTACCCACATTATTCTCTTTTTATTTTTATTTTTATTTTTAATCAATAACAATAACAACAATAATAATAATAATAAACACTAAATTTAAAAAACAAAAATCAATTAAAACAAGTGGCTTAAATTAGTTTCGGGGTTCTAATTAGAAGAAGTAGGAAATTTGGGAACCAAGAGAGACCCAATTGAGGGTACAATTAAAAGATTCAAAACACCGGACCTTTAATTAAAATAAAAAAAGGGGATATAATTGGAAGGAATTTAAAAAGAAAGGTCTTGATTAATTATAATTTAAGGGTGTCATTGAGTTCAAACAATTAAAATCGTCCTTAAATTAATGAATTAAGAGGAATAAGGGATCAAAATCGATCTTTGCCCAAAAAGCCCTAAATTCCATCTATAAATACCCCTTCCCTCTCTCTCTCATTTTTATATACCTTCCACTATTCATCACCTCCCCTAAAAACCAAAAAAAAAAAAAAAAAACATAACAACACCAAAAACTCCTCCTCATTCATCATCTCTAGCTAAAACCTCACCCATAACCACCCTCTTCCTCTTTCATCTCCTTCAATCAAAACACTACATCAACCATCATTGTCGGCCTCCATAAGCCATACCGGCCACCACCCATACCGGACTCTTTTCTCCCTCATAACCCGAACCCTAAATGAAACCATATACCACCATAACTTTAAACTCCCTTAACCTACAACCAACACCACACCCATCATTGCCTCATTACCACTTGTCATGCAAAGCACCCTTCACTCGCTACTAGCCGTCATAACTCGAGCTCTAAAAGACCTCATCAACTACTAGTACAACTATACAATCCCTCACTACTACCAATCCATTGTAACTCCATCTCCAAAGTCCACTCTTCATAAACCAAAACCCCATCTTCGTCGACCTTAAATAGCCTTGAACTAGATACCACCGAAACACTACTGACCTAACCATCTTTATGAGTTTTAAATAGCCTTAAACTCGCTACCAAAAACCAACTCTTCATAACCTCACTCACCGAAACCACTTCTAGTCCTAAAAATCACAACCCTATTGCAAAACACTATTAGACCCAAAATCCCATTCTCCTAAAGTCATAACACATTTCAAACATAGCAACTCAAAAAACAAAAAAATCTTTAAACTTAAAAATGCATCCTAAATTGATGATAATGTGTGGAGGAACGAGTGTTTAGTTAGTTAAAAAGGCAAAACTTATGGGGTTATTTTGGTGTTAGTAGCAGATAGAAACTTGATTAGTTATAAACATCAAAAAACATATAAAAAATCTATTTGGTTAATTATTGTATTTGACAAGAACAATATGATGTTATAGATTGTAATTTTTTTTTTTTTGTTGGTTGGAATAAAAACATTGATAAAACAAGATTAAGTTATATTAAGGAATTTTCATCTAGATAAAATAGAATAGAAAAAGGGCTTAAGAACGAGTTGTTTCCTCTTCCTCGACCGATTGAAATAATCGGTCTTCATCGAGATTAAAGGAAATGAAACTTATCCAAATGAAATCGTTAACACCATCACAACATTTAGGTAATTTTTGAACCTATAAATATTGATTTTAAATAATAACTGAAAATGATGAAAATTTCATGTTGTGGATGATTGAACTATCAAATTCTCTAATTAATTCTGAATGAAATAATTGTCATATTTACTCGTTCTATGAAATTATTTTATTTTTTTCGAGTTTGTCAAAAGAAAGAGGCCACTTAGTGACTTCCTACCTATATGGACAAAGCCATTAGTGGCATGTGAACCAATTTTATTTAATTTTTATTAAAATAAAGTTTTTGATTGCTTTCCACTTATGTGATGAAGCTATCGGTGGTTTCAAAGATATTTTATATGTTTTTTTCTCTTTAAAAAAGAGGTCACTAATGACTTCTCATTTATGCGGATGAAGCTACCAGGTGACCCATAAATTAGTTTTATTTAATTTATTCTTATCAAAATAAAGTTGTTGGTGGCTTTTCATTTATGTGATGATGCTCTCATTGGCTTCCAAGTCATTTTACATTTTTTTGATCGTCGAAAAGGAGACTGTCTATAGCTTCCCACCTATATAGATAAAGCTACTAGTGACCCTCAAACCATTTTTATTTAATTTTTTCTTGTTAAAATGAAGTTGTTAATGACTTTCTACTTATGTGATAGGTTGGTGGTGGTTTCAAAGTCATTTTACCATTTTTCTATTTGTCAAAAATGAATCTATCGATGACTTTCTACTTATGTGACAAAATTACTAGTGGCATTCAAATCGGTTATCTACTTTTTACTCAAACAAAATAGAGTTGTCAATTGCTTTCTACTTATGTGACAAAGTCGTCAATAGCTTTTTAAACTCATGATTTAAAGTCGATGACGAGCTTTCCACTTATATGAGTGATGTTGTCGGTGATTGACTGTTCATGTCATTAAAGGGTATCAATCTTTAAAAACTCACATACTTGTCGGTATAAGCTTATGTTTCCTAAAGATTAGCCAAAATTCCAATCTTTCCCTCACCTTTCTCTTTTGAGTATGAGTGTTAGTCTTAGATCGAGCAAAACTCGAATTACTCAACCATTCCATCTCAACAGAATAAATTTACTCAAGTAGACATAAAAACATAATTTAATAAAATAAGATTTTTATTTTTTTATTTTTTTATTTTTGATTTAAATGTAAGTGTATAAATCAAAGAGAAACTAAGCTTGGAGAACCAGCGAAGTATCTTATACGGGATATACAAAAATGGGAACATGCTCCCAAAAAACCCAAGGCAAAAGAGCTAGAAACTAAAGGTTGTTCAAGGAATCGATAGTGAAGATTCCAAGAAAAACCCCTCAATATACTTGACTAGCTAACCGAAACCATGTACAAAGGCTTATCGAGCATGCAAAAAATTATACCGAAAGTAATCTAACAATTTACAAAACCCGGCGATACACGCAGATTGAAAAAGCAAAAAACTCGGATTGGAGCGAGCAGCATACGAGGCCGAACGAACCCGAAGATAAGAGGGCGAGCCTAACCGTATCGAGCTACCAACCCAAACGAGGACTTAGCGAGAGGTTAGTCGTAGCCAAGCTACCAAAACAAGCGGACTGGACAAGCGAATCCCCAAGCCGGAGGAGGAAAGCACCCAGCTAGGCAAAAGCGCAGAGGGCGGACAGAATCGGGAACGACCAAGCTAGAGCCACCATAGTAAACAAAAACACCAACACACCAAAACCATCAACCACGGCCAAGTGTCGGCCACGACGGAGAGCTTGCAAGCCCCGAGAACGGAAAGCCTACCCAATAGCCAAAATAGCGGGATCCTTGTGATGATAATAAAAGATCATGAAGAATAAGATTTGGAACCGCCTGTGGGTGTGGTCGATTAATCTATGGGTGTCATCAAAGATCCTCCTATTTCTCTCCCCTCATATGAGGTAGATCGCAATGCTTAGCGAGACTTTGTTCATCCTTGAAACTATGTTTTTTCATCGGGTAGATAGTCCTCTAATAGCACTCAAAAGAGTAGTCATACCTCGAGAAAGATGTAACCACCTGTTTGATCCAAGACCACGGAGACCAAGACTACAAGCAAAGAAGAGATGACCGTGGGACTCCTCATCTTGGTGACATAGGGGACACGAGGGATCCTCGGTAATATAGTGAAGCTAATCTCTAGTTCTCAACTTGCCCCTAATAGCCAACTAGAGAATAAAAGCATTCCGTGGTAAAGACCATTGTTCCCGGACCACATGGACCCGGTTTACCAAGACACCTTTCGACCGTAAATGCTCATCAAGCATGTTGTGTAAAGTTCCCATCCCAACTTGCCAACTATGCATCATATCAATGACACTGCGTACTATCCCCAAGCTACTCGGACTAGTCAACCTTTTAGAGTAGTGATGGATTTCCACAAAGGAGAGGCATGTTTGGGGGCTCGGGCCTCCCACACCGAATGATCGTGAAGATAATAGTTATGTACCCATTGAATCTAAACCGAATCGGACTTGAGATGCGGATCCTAAAGTTGCTTAGCAATAAAAGAGACATTACGAGATTTGATATCAAAGAGTCCCGGACCACCCTCCTCCTCAGGGCGGCATATATGCTTCCAAAAACCGAGGCGATCTGAATTTTTGCCATTGCTCGACCAAAGGAAGTTCCTGTAGATGCCGACAATGCTAGATATAACTCGTGGAGGGAAGGGGAAGATAGATATCCAACATTAGATCATGTCGATCAAAGCCGACCTCGGGAGCTCTAATCTATCAACAAAAGAAAGGTGTTTCCCCATCCAACCCCGAATAGCACCCTCAAACCTCCGAAGAAGCGGATAATACTGGCTGGCCAATAGTATATGCGGACTAAGAGGGACTCCCAAATATCTAAAGGGAAAGGTGCCTTCATCGAATCCCGAGTCTTGAACAATAACGAGTTCCGAGATTGTTGTTGACTCTCCCAAAATAAATAGAAGACTTGGTCGCATTAGTGACCAACCTCGAAATCCAACCAAAAGCAATGAGTTGGTCAATCAAACATTAAACCGACCGGCTATCCCCACGGTATAAAAGAAGAACATCATCCGCAAAGACAATATGACCGATACAATGAGCCTCGCATTTTGGGTGAAAACTAAACCTCTATCGGGCGAGTAGCAAGCCCAAGCATACGAGAGAAATACTCCATGCGGATAATGAAGAGATAAGGCAAAAGCGGGTCCCCTTGCCTAAGCCCACTCCTCCCCAAGAAGAACCCAAAGAGCCTACCATTCATGGTTACCGAAAAGAAGTAGACTCAACACAAGCCATAATCAAGGTCATAAAGAAATTCGAAAACCCAAGCTTGGAGGAGAAAGGCTCTCGGAAAAGTCCACCGAATCGAATCAAAGGCCTTAGAAAAATCCACTTTAACCAAAAAACATGGAAAGGCTCTCTTCCTTCCATAAAGCCGAAAGAGCTCCTGCACAAGGTGAATATTATCCGACATTTTCCTTCCCCTATGAAAGCATTCCGCATGGAGCTTACAATGCCACTCAAAGCCACGGCAATTTTGGATGAGAGAAGCTTGGAAATGACTTTGTAGATGACATTACAACAAGAAATAGGCCAAAAGCCAATCATCATAGTAGCATGCGAAGATTTGGGAACCAAGGCTATTATGAAGTGATTAATCGCTTCAACAACTTCCCCAATGAGAAAAAATCCCTCATTGTTAGACGAAATCAGCACCCACAATGCCCCAAGCCGTTTTATAGAAGAGCGAGGAGAACCCATCCATCCCCGGAGCCTTAGAGCTATCAATATTAAAAACGACCTCTTTGATCTCATCATTAGTCACGGGAGAGAGCGACGATGGCTTGAGTGACTTGGTCTAAACACGAACCCGATGTAATGACATCTAAAACCAAAGGCAGAGTATCCTTAGCCAAACCAAAGAGGTTCTTAAAGAACCCTACAAATTCCTCTCCCACGAGCATCAATCGAAGAGGTAACATGGCCATTATGCCCTCGAACTCGCGGCTATATAGTTACGCTTGTGATTCCGACCCATAAGAGCATGAAAGAATTTTGTACCTCTATCACGGTCTTGAAGGAACTTATACTTTAGCTTCTAGCCAAAAAAGGATTTTTCTACCGTTTTGAGGTGGAGCACACGAAGCCGTAAGCTTACATCCGAATCTAGAAGAAGAGAGTTCTCTCGGTCATTCAATAAAGCTTCTTGGTTGTGTTGAAGTTACGCTTCGCTCTAGCTACCCGTTTGAAAATATGACTCGCAATGTAACTTATTCAACTCTTTCAAAGGTCTCTTCAACAATTTCTTTTTCCAATAAAATATAAACATAGGAGTTCCTCGGATGCTAACTTATCAATGCCGCCCAACAATGTGAAAGAAACGATCATGAGAAGTCCACATGTTAAAGAACTTGAAATAAGCCGGCTTAGGGGGACGGGGTATTAAGCTGGATGGAAGCCGCAGGCATGATCAAAGAAAGTATCGGGTGTCTTGAAATGAACAAGAGTAGGCGGCTCGAGAGTGGCCCAAAGGGGGTTAGCCGAACTCCGTCAATCTTAGTCCAAACAATTCCTCGATTCCAAGTGTAGTGACTCGCCTACATAGTTTAGCTCACTCAATCCCAACTCACCGCAACAATCTCAAAAATTCGAGGTATCATAGGTAGAGACGACCATCGCATTGCATTTATCATCCCGAGAGAGAACGAAATTGAAATCCTCCGTAACGATCCACCGACAATTCGGATCCCACCCATGGAGGTCATCCCATAAACCTTTCCTAGCAGAAATTGTATTAAACGCATAAATAAAAGTGGCATTGAAGTGGTACTCGCTCAACAAGACTAAAGATTCTAACATTTAACCCTCGAGGAAAGACATCAAGGCAATCAAGCAAAACTATCTTGGGGTTCCAAAATACAACAATACGAGCATATAGAGCAACCTCAACATTAGAGACAACATTTCAATCCTTAAGTCAAAGTCTATATATGTGGGTAAGTTTAGCCGTGCTAAGCTTTGTCTCAACAAAAGAACACACATCAACCTATTTCTTTTTCATAAGGCTTGCGGCCTCATGTCGCTTCGTGGGGTTGTTAAAGCCCCCGACATTCCTAACATACAAGAGCCGTGGTGGTAAGCACCCGCCTACTACCACCTCTAGTTTTCACCCCACCACTTCTAGTGGTCATCCGCGTAGAAGCCCTCGCTCGACCATCACCTCTACTAGTCCGAGTGGTAGCCCCATGAGCATTAGGAAGAACCAATTCCTCAACAAATACTTCTATCGGGACAAGGTTCTCAACCAATCTCTCAAGTCTATACGGGCTAATATGGCTAGCGACCACGAGAGAAAGGCCTACCTAGTCCCCCTCACTCTCCTCAATGTCAAGTGGTGCACCTCCACTCGTCACCTTATCTTTTTGTTTACCAATCTTCATGTTATTCGAATTGAAGTTGCTGATTGAACAATGCGAGTACCATGCTTGTACTCGAATCGACGAGTAGCCATCTAGCCTATGGCGACGAGTAGCATTCCGCCTTAGAGGGATTGCTTGTTGAACCGGCACAACAATAGCACCCCGGTCTATAAGCGATTGATTCGGCCTCCGCCCTTTCTCCCGACTATTTCCCAACCATCGAATTTCCGATAGAACTCAAAATGCATGAGGTCAAACCTCTCGGCCTAATAACCGAAAGCAATGGCATCAGCTAGCCCAAGCTCGGTAGCCATGCTAGCCCATGCTTGATTATCCTCATCCACAACTATAGTAGCCCCCTTCTCTATCACTTCGGATTTAGGAGGAACAACTTTGCATCCGAAAGTCACATGGCCCAAGACTTTGCAATGTTTGTAGTGAATTGGCACCGTTTCATAGATCACGGATTGGAGTAACTTAGACCCATTCGGCAGATCAATGCCCACCTCCCGTGGTAGGGCATCTATGATGTTCATCTCAATAAGGACTCGAGCATAAGAAATTCTTTCAATAATAGTCGTAAGTCGATCACATTGTATTGGTTTTTCGAGCAAACTTGCTATTTTAGATAGAGCTATCGATGGACTAACATTTTAAGGGAAGGTTAGTGAATTTCACCCACACAAGAACCATTAACATATCCCCCGACGAGAAGTCAAAAAATTCCAAGCATAGATTTCAAGATCATGGGCTCGCCATAGATCAAATATGGTCCACCATTCAACACCTCCGAGTTTCACGTCTTCGTAACCAAATTGGTATACCGACCATCCAAAGTCATGCATTATCGGCTTGGCTTTACATTTCCGAGCATTTGCAATAATAGCATTAAGAGCCCCGTATCCGGAGGATTTACCACCTACATAACCCACCAAGAAAAATTTCCACCCATCATACCATGAATCCTCCACAACCAAAGAACATTTCGACTTTCCGTGATAATAGAGTAGTGTGTGAGTTTTGGACGGAAAGTAGGACTACGGTTATTCACAAATTAGATTTCTCCAATTAGGCATTGGGGGAGGGTCATTTACGGGGTGAGTAGATCCAACGAATAGCATCGAGCAAGGTCTGGAGGGACTAAAAGGCAAGCTTCCTTGAATAAGCCAGCTCGTATTTCCACTTATCAATACATCGTGGGCGAGCTCGCATAATTCGGACCGAAGCGGATCGACGGGCTAAATGAGCCGCACTATGAGTACCCGCATTGACACCTTAGCGTAGTGTCGCATTCGGGAAGACCGATTGGGAGTTTTTATCAAATAGGTGGTGGGTAAGGTGCCGGGCACCCGGGTGGGCTCGGTTGCACGTGGAGGGTTACCCAAACGCAAGTCTCCTCGGTGGTGGACGGAGTTTGTCGAGCTGGAACTAACTTGTTCGGCATCGAGGGGTTTAATTGGACCCAAATCGGAGGGGGATCCGAAAGAATTTGGACCGAGAGGTTGGTTCCCTTTCGGAATCCGAGGAATCGATTCGACCTCGGTGTCCACATCCGAGCGGTCCTCAACCGCCACCGAGTCCGGAGTAGGAGAGGGGACATGTCCGTGTAAAACTCCAATGTCCCTAGCTTGGTAAGAAGTTAAGTGGGAAGATGTGGATTCTAAATTATGCAGAGAAGTGGAAGGCACCAAAGGAGTCGCTAGTGGCTATAATTGGTGCCGCATAATTTATCCCCGGTGAAATCTTTGATGACCTAGCAGCAGATTTCTTTTTCTTTTTAGCCATAGAAGAAAGGAAGTACACGGGAACGGGGGAGAGAGAGGGAATATGGTAAGTTGGAAAGGAAGGACACGGGAAGGAGAAGGGTGGGTTAAGAACGGGATGGAGAGGAGGGAAGGGAGGGATAGTCGAGCAAGATAGCATGCCAAATCTTGGGGGAAAGATCTCCATGGGAGGAGGAGAGCACCTCTCTCTTCTTTCTCACTCCTAGACACGCTACAATTTTTATTTTTGTATGCATTCAATGTAGCCTACCTTAGGTAAAAAGGGATGGCAATGATGTTATATCTTTTCCATGTATAACCGATCCGTTACCAAGATACTTATATAGACTAGTTTGTTTAGAGTTTTCTAGCTTTTCCTGATTAGCTAGGTGATAACTTTTGTTTCCTATGATGCTCCTACATGCCTCGTCAACAAAAACTAAGGACTAGTTCGTAAGAATTAGGACCAAAAGGATTGAAATGATGTAAAAAAATGGGCTTAATCGAAGAAAATTAAAAAATTAAAGGATAAATTTTAAAGAAAGTCCGAATGATAGGATACATTTAAACTTTTACGCCAAACGGCATGTCATTCGATGCTTTAAATACTCGAAAATGCATCGACCACTATTTTTCTTCTCTAAATAAGCAAACATGTTTCGATAAGAAAAAAATAGGTTGGCAATTTGTTATGGTTTTCCTCTTTCCTAAACTCGCTAGCCTTACATTAGTGTCATCCTTTAGCCCCGAAACAAAACACAAACCACTTATTTTCCTTAATTCCCAACACCCTCCAAGCTACACAAAATGACAAGTAGGGTAGGAAAAAAAAAACAACATAGCAAAAAAAAAAAAAAAAAAAAGAGGGAATAGCCTTTGTACTCCCGAAAAAGGAAAGGCTTGGATGGTTTACGAGAGATCGGAGGGTTAAAAATGGGTCCAAAGAGTGAATATAAGGGTGAAGAAAAATGAAAGAGAGGGAGGGTGGAGAGGATTCTAGCATTAGGGGTTTTCTAGGGAGCTCTATATTTTTTGAACTTAAAAAGGGTGAAAGGTTTAAGAACTAGGAGGATTTTTCTTATCCATCTCTCTACGCGAATGATACTAAAAGGAAAAGAAATGATTTTCTTTCTTTTTTTTCATGGCTTTAGGGAGATCTTTTGTCTTCCTTTATTGATAACTTAAAACAAAGAAAATGAATTTATTTTATTTTATTGTCTTTTTTTTATGAGTTATTGATTTCTAGAGTGTAAGGAGCAAGAAAGAAAAGAAAAGAAGAGGTTCTAGGTTAAGGAGGATTTTGGTTTTAGGTTTAGAATTTTAAGTTTTTGGTGTATCAATCGTTGCCATATTTTAGTAAGCTTTTTGACAATTAAAGGAGAAGGCTAGAGGATCAATTTAAAAATGAACAAAGTCGCACCCCATACTAGATATATCTCAAACTTTTTTCTTTTTTAAGCATAATGAAATATGCTTCCATGTTTGATCTGCAATATTAAGTTTCAAGCTTTAGACAACGAAAGCAAAGTAATGATGACGATATATCCCTTGTGAAGTGAAGTATATTCTTTTGGTTTAGCATGCAAGTAGGAAGTAGTGAGGAGCGTGTCATTTACACAAAATAGGGTATATTGTGGGTATAGGATTTATGATATTCTTTTCCATCATTTACATAAATAAAACGTGAGTCCTAGTCTCTATGTGTGATAAAGATTGAATTTAGTGCAAGTGTTAGAACACATGGTGGACATTAGGATGGGTAAAACAAAATCAAGTATATTGGGTGGTTGATGTTTTAAATGGATAATCAAATGAGAGAATAACAAGCTAGTCTCCACTACTTCCTTCATACTCGATTTTAGAAGGTATTTTAGTTTGGAGTTTGAACATTGGAATTACTCGAGGTTATTCATTAGTGCCTAATAACAAGGTCTTATTGCACTTGTGTCCCTAATGTGAATAGATTTAGGGGTGAAATTAGCAAAATCTTAATCCTAGGGTTAGTTCCGGTATTTTTTTTCATTTGATAAGTTTGGTTAAATTATTTTAATCTGTAATTTTTATGTGTTGTACATATGATGGTTCTTAGGTTTTATTTTAAATTTTGTCATTTTACGACACCATTTGATATTCATTTGAAATTTCTTCATTATTCTATTATACTAAATTTGGAAAATAGTTGTTTTGGCTTTCCTTTTGTTTGAAAGAGTTACCCATAATATTTAACTTGAAATTTTAATGTGATGTACATATATATGATCTTGAATTTTTGTTAAAATTTCATAATATTAAGACGTGGTTTGATATTTATTTTCATTTTGTATCTTTTATGTTATTAATTCATTTATTGGTGACGGACTATTTAGAAATTTATCTATTTAAATTTGTTTTTGATGTAATTTTAGCTTGAAATTTTTAGAAGATGTGTAAGCATATGTAATAAAGTTATTGTAAAGTTTTTGCTAAATTTAGATTATGTTTGGTATTTATTTCATTATTTTCATTAATGTTGTGCATATGGTTATTTTGAATGAAGGATATCGAGTTAGTTATAGGATCATCCGAGTCTCTTAGGTCCTAGGGAATTATGACAATCCCATATCAAGCTTGATTGATAATTAAGAAAATAAAATATCATCTTAAGACATGTAGAAAATTTAGATCGAATTAACGAGTCTCTTATTTAAATAGTGATCGATTTTAATCGGACCCCCATAAAAATTATTTAAAACAAAAAATCAATAAGGAAAAGATTAGCTAAGATGTATGTAAGTCAACCAAACACCCTTACTTAATTAACTCATTCCTCGAGCATGTTGGTCTTGTTAGAATATAATTAAATCCAATACTAAAATGACAAGTCACTAAATCTTAGGACTCGACATCGGCTTAATATGATTTCACAATAAAAAAAATAAATCAATTTGACCTAAATGATAAACAAGTGATGTGAACCCCACGTATAAACAATAGAGACTCGAACACCCTTATTGCTAGACAACTCCAAGAATATGCCGAATCGAAGTTATAATAAGTGAAACCCGATCTGTCGCCTATAAGGAGTCAAGAACAAAAGTTATGATGTAATAAAGTAAAGAACACCACACCCTAAAAGGATGATAAGTTCGGAGATACCACAAGGGTTGCAATCCTTGATAAGTCGATTTAGTTCTAAAAAAAAACTAAGGAAAAAAATCCTCTCAAATTCATTAATTCTCAAAATTATAACACAAGTCCGAAACGAACTAAATCGGCCTTCAAATAGGTTAAACACATCAATCTCAACCCTAAAAGGACGTCCTTTCCACCTAAGGCAAACAAAATCAAACCCTAATAGACTAAAAAGAATATGTAAATAATTTTAGCCTAAATCTAACTTAATTAATTAGTTTTAATTTTAATTAATATAAGCTTAAAAATTTGAACCCAAATCTAACTCAATTAGTTAGTTCTAATTATAATTAAGCTAGATATAATACAATATGCCTAATATGATTCAAAGATCTCAATCTTGGACTTGGAATAGATTGACAATTCTTGAATCCCCTCCTCTCTTAAGATCGTACCACAATGCTCCCTTAGGTCTTTGGAAGTGATTCTACCTAATACTCTTGAATCGACCTATGAAGAGCTTTTTAAATTTTTTTAGCCCAAACTTGTATCATTTGGCTATCTTTAGTAGGGGTGAGCATTCGGTTGAACGGTTCGGTTTTGTACGATTCGGTTCGATTTTTGGTTAATCGAATTAAAAAAATAAAAACCAAAACCGAACCGAAATAAATTCGATAAATTCGGTTTGTAACCGAATTATTTCGGTTTGGTTTCGAAATATTTCGGTTTTAACCAAAATATTTTGTTGTAAAAAAAAATCATTACAGAGAGATATTTTGTACTAGCACTTAGTCCACTAGCCAATGAAGTAACATCTTGTTATCAATTAATCCTTTTTATAAACAATCACAAAGCCATTGAAGATTTTAATTAAGCTTTAATGAAAACGAGTCCAAGTGTAATAAATTTGCTCGTTCAAACACGCTCGTATCCCAATTAATTACACTATGTCACTTTCTTTTCTTACCTCAACGGTCCTCAAAATTTACTTCCCATCTGCGTGTTTCGGCTTCAACAAGAATGAAGATTAAAAAGTTTGGGATTTAGAAATTAGGAAATTTTTTACTATTTATTTCGGTTTTCGGTCGAAATCGAAATTTTTTTTCTAAAAACCGAACCGAACCGAAATTATTTCGGTTTTTTCGATTCGATTTTATATTGTATAATTTTATATATAAAACTAAACCAAATTTCATAATTCGATTCGGTTTTATTCGATTTTCGGTTAACCGAACCGTTTGCTCACCCTTAATCTTTAGTATGTAATGGATCGGTTCTTAGACTTACAAACTCGTTATCTTAGACCTCTCTTAGAGTTACAACTTTGCTTGGTCCCTTTGGCTCCTTAGTTTCCATCATTTCTCCTTCTTTAAAAGGATTCATCCTTGAATGTTTGTCTTGATACTCATCCTACTCCCTCAATTAGAGAACACTCATCCTTAAATCTTATAATAACAAAGTATCAAAAATATATGCACGTGCCTATCCCGTAAATACGAACAAATAATGGTTGAAACAATTTATGTTTAATTTTATTATTATTGGACTCTTTTAAAAGTACAAATTCAATATGTGATATATTTTCTTAAACTTCCACAATCTTCTCATTATCTTCCTCCTCTTGCATAACTATAAGATTATCAAACTCGTCCTTTTTTTGCTCTTCTCATTGTTTTACCAAGTCTTCAACGAACATAGACTCCTCTCATTTAATGCTCTCCAACTTCACCTCAAGCACTAGTTCTCTTAAATTAAAATTGAATTTGGATGTTTCGGCCTTGGGCTTGTAATCACCCTTGGTTAACTCTTCTCATTTAATGCTCTCAAATTCAATATAGTCATCGTCATGATTGGAAATTAGAGTGCTCTCAACACCCATAAAATCAATAACAGGTATAGTCATCATTATAACCGAAAGTTTGAGTGCTCTCAATTTTTTTTCTCTCAATTTCTTTTTTCAAGCTCATTTGTTCCTCATAAACTTGCTTAGGTGATATTGAAACAAGTGTTATTTTCATCCCTCAATTTCAAATAAATATTTATTGCTAAACTCTTCATCCGTCACTTTTCTAACAACTTGCCAAGGTTTTTTTAGTAAAATATGACAACATCACACAAAACCTCATCATTGTATCTCCCAATAGAAAAAGACATTATCACTTGTTTTTTTATCTCGACTCGCTCTACACTCATTTACCCATTGCAATGTATATGGCCTAGGATGTTCTACTATAGGCAAACTCAAATTTTCAACTAACTCAAGGTCGACAATATTGACACGACCACCCTCATCTATTATCAAATAACGGACCTTCTTATTGACATGACATCGAATATGAAAATATTATCTCTATATTCCTCCTCATCACTTTTTGTATGTGTGCTTAAAGCATCTATAATTAATATTGACTCATCATAAACATGATCATCAACACTCATTTCACCCTCTCCCTTAGTGCTCCTAATAAACTTTTTCAAATTTTGAGAGGCTATTAACTTAAATTTTTATTCCCCGTAATCTATCTTAAATTTTTTAAAAAGAATTGATTCTTTGGGGAAAAAACCCTAGCTAAAGAACGATTGCTATGGTGAACCTTAGGTACCAGTAGCATGATGGTCGGTAAGA